GGTGACATATCACCATGGTAACGTCATACTGGTTAAATCACCATGGTAACGCCATACAGGTGACATATCACCATGGTAACGCCATACAGGTAAAATCACCATTGAAGCGTCACACGGGTTAAAACACACAAACGCTCAGATCTATGAAGCATATTAACATACACATACTGTGTTATTTCTAAATAACTTAAATACTGATACAAAAAATTTTTTTAATGGTTCAACAAATAAATACTACAAAAAGTACTAATCCTTCAATGTTTCAAAATCTTTTGGAGACATTAAAATAATAGCACTTTTGTAGTTTGTCCTACGTTCATAACTCAATAGACGAATTAAACAAATTTGCAATCAGTTAGGTCAAACAAGATTGCTCCTGATTTAAACACTATTTAAAGCTGATTTTTAAGCAGTCTTGTGAATATAAATGTCGAATAATACAGTGAACCGTCATTTTTCTGTGTTTTGTCTTTTTTAAATTGCCAATTTTCATTTCTAATCGCATGGTCTGAATAAGACTTTTGATATACAAATGGCACATGACTGCCCCATTGAAATGTTAGAGTTTTATCTGACTCGATTTTATAGGAAATCGGTATGTCACAATATTTCATAAAAAGTCATCTGATATGGCTTGTATCTGATGTATGAAAATTGGTTCAAATAGAGGCTAATTTTCTGTCGGCGAGATAAGAAATGGTAAATATAGAGCGAGCCCTCGGGAATTGAAGTGGATATGTTGTATGACCGATACACTATGATTACTTTGATCACGCAACATCACAATCCATATAGCATGGCAGGGTTGTAATGTCAAGCGCATGCGTACTGAGAAAGCCGTACGTTGGCGGAAGGGGATTGAATGAATGATGCGCAAATCGGTCACGATCTTATTAGAAAAACCGGAAATGAGACGTTTGTACAATTCTACTAAATCCTTGGTTGAATTATAGGTGTCGAAATGATGAGGTTCCAGTCAGAAATTTCAGGTTGTTTTGATTTGTTTTACAGATGAACATAGAAATCTGCAATTTATTGATAAGCTCTGCATATCTGCATATTTTCAAATACAATGTGGATTATGACGGGAAATCATTTCACTTAACAAGTCTTGTTGTTGTTGATTGAAGCTTAGTCTGTTTGACCAATGAGATTCCTGTAATCTGACTTTCTCCGGTATCCTTGTCAATGACTCTCGAAATATCTGTCAAGTTCGGGGGTTCCGGAAATTAGATGTAATCCGGAGATTGTTAAAGCTAGTATCGGTTGACCACGGTTATATTATCTCAGTGATAAAATAACTCTATGCCGTTAACAACTCGATATTGGAGGTTAAGTTTGCCATAGCGATCCATGTAATTACAACTAGGCCTAACCGTTCTACCCCAATAGAATAGATAGCGATCTGTGGGTAGTTTAATTGGTTTCAGACGATTACAGTGATGGTTAGCGTTTTATATAACCGCAAAAAAAATTGACTGTTTCCGGTATAATATTTTTAAAGTGATGATTGTACACAAACCTCTGACTAGTAATGGTGTGTGTTCTATATAGGAAACATTGGTGATAGTGTTTTTCAGACATTTAATGTGTCAACACAGCGCCACTAGTATCTGTGGATACAAATACTTTTGTAAAAGGGGTAATGGAAGATTATCGCATTGCTTTATCTTATCCTTTTAAAGTACAACTTATTAACATTTAAATGTCGAAAATACACCTGTCTTGAATATAAGGCTGACTAAAAAAGTCCGTAGACATCTCATCGCCGAACAGTCTAGATACAGAGTAAAACACTCATTGCCATTGCCAGACAAACGAGTTAACCCTGTATAACTAGTTCACCAGGAACATATATAGATGTTCTAAATCTCATTTTACGATTAATGAAATATGTAATTTACATAGGAAAAGACGCCGTCACTGGGAATTATTAGAAAGTTGTTTCTTAATCAATTCTGGCACATATAGGTATTCACCAATTTACTGCTATCAAATGTTTATTACACCGCCGCAATACTTGACTTTTCCATTTGGTAAGTTGTATCATATAACTGACAGAATGGATATGACTTCATGAACTTTCGATACTAATGGAACTGACCTGCATTCATACTGTAATAAATGTTTCAAACATTCGTTCTATACGTTGATTCTAAATACATAGCTGTTTATGATCTATCGTGTGTATTCCCTTACATTTGTGGTATTGAAGTGTCTGTATCGTCAGTGAAAACGAAGTTCCTGTAACAGCCTAACGTCACCTAAATGTCTACCTCTAACATTGTTCGAGATGGGGAGAAACACAATGACATTGCTACCAGTGTATCCATCGCTTCATAAATTCTACTTGCACTCGTACCAGTGAAGGTTACTGCTCTTGCTTTCTGTATACTACACATTAATAGTCCAGCCATATCTAACAGTATCACTCACTGGTCTGCTACCATAATCAAGTGTTGATGTAACTGATCCAGTGGGGATGATAAAGGAAGCCTCCTTGTGGATAAGAAGAACAAATGGATGGCCATTAGTTAAACTACCTATCTCCTCAACAATAGAACAAAATAATTCCAAACACAAACGTCAACAGTTTGTCCCAATTTGCCTTTTAATGCCTCAATAACCCGATTGTTACTGAGAGTATCTTCTAGTTGGAGCCGAATACATTACTCACGAGTCGGAGGGGTTTCCTTGAGAGGATCAGAAAGAACGATATAAAGCACTCCTTAAAGACATTCAAGGAGAGAATATCTGCTAAATTCGGGATTATTTGTTTTCTTTTTTAAACTAACATAAGCTTCATATAATGAGGATGTGAGTTAGTACTCTGTTCGATACACATCGGTAGTTATAACGATTTCTATACGGCTCTGTGTTTGAAGGAGAAATTTGTTATGAAGGACAGTAAGCTTTATTAAAGAGGAGTCTGTAAGTAGTGTGCATGGCCTTCAGTCATTATATATGAACCATACTAATGACAAGGTAACATATTCCTTTTCCACGCCAGTCGTACGAATCAATTGTTCATTAACAAAGGTTATTGACAAGTTTCACCAAAAGATTTCAAGGCAAGTATGAACTATGGACGCGCTGTAATCTTCAACGCTACAAGGGTAAGCTAAGAATATTGGTCTTTATTATTAAAGGTACGTAACGCAGAAGGACAGGGCCGCTTTGGTTAGAAGTGGTGTCCGTTGCTTTTGTTTGTACACATAAGTGTAGCGATCTGTCTTTGTTATGCGTCTTCAATCTTCACAATCACATCAAAATGAGGTCCATTATTATGTACAAAACCTTTACGTGTCCTGTCTTCAGGTAAGATTTCTTTGATACGTTGACCATAGGCAATATACACATTTATGTTACTGTATCAATTATTCCTAGCCATTTCGATACTTCATTTTGTTCTGTAAACGGCATCTCGTTGTGTTTTAAACATACATTTACTTATTCAATTATAAATATAAATGGAAACGTTTTCTATACATTTTCGTTTATAAAGCATTTGTTAAATATTGTCACAAGTGTCATTTTCATGAAATGTTTAACCTTGTTTTAATTAAATATGTACCTAGTACATGTTAACAGGCTTTTATGGTCTTCCAACCACAGTTTCTATTTTTTCCACACTTACTAGTAATATATATTATGCAACATCAATGTATTGCGTCATTAATAAGATACTGAACCCCTCTGTTTTGTTGCAAATACGTTTTTTCATATTTCTATATCTATGCACTAAATACACGAGTGAAATTTATTTGAGGCTGACTATGGAAATTTTGTAAAAATAACTTCATGTTTAAACGTGCGTCATTAAAGGTTTGTGAGATAATCTAACTGAAAATCTCCTCACCTCGGATGTGATTGGGAAATAAGAACACTTGGTTATAATTAATCAATGTAGCATTACAGTATTCATTATTACAATTTATAATGTATCTGGTGCATTAGGTTATTTCATCTAATCTTACAATAATCATTTATCATTTATTTGATTTAGTACAGTATTTCTTTACATTCAACAGTTCTTAGGTATAATTTATATGGTACATCACATCATCAATTTAACTCGCGTTAATTGTTTAGTATATATACACTTCAACAAATGTTCCAACTGTTAGTCATCAATCCAACATAAATCAGATCATTGTAGAATTATAAACCTCTAAATAATCAAAGCAGTATTGATATTCCAATGGTGTTCCACAATTCTGTACAATTATCTCAATAAGTCAGTCGATCTGGTTAAATCACTGATGGATGAGGTAACTAATAGGGGCCATGAGATAGTCTATAAATATTCTCATAAACAAACACACGTGATGAGCCAAGATTGCTGTTGGAGATGTCTATGAGTAAACTCCTAGATCATTAGATAACACAAATAATCATATCATTCACTCAGTAATATCACTTCAAGTGGTGCGCTTGATCAATCCTTGTTACAGTTGTGAGAGTTGTCTTGATTGCCTGTTTCATTTTAAAAAAATATTGAAAACACTATAAAATTTACAACAAAGATATTTTATAAATCACTCATAGTCAGATTTATTTATAGTGCTACCTTTTTATATCAGTAAAACAAAATGACTGTTTGTTTATTATTCGTGCTCCTAATCTCCAAAGTTGTTAACGTAGTGACAATATCGTTCAATATGATACAGAAAGACACTGACATTTGACCCTCGTAATAATGTTGAACAATTGTCGACGGACATATAAAATAAAGTAAAGTCGTTGGCGTGGTGCGATTATGTCTGGACCGGTATTTCTACCACCGAGTGTGCCCAGGTGGATAGCTGCATTGCTCTAGAATCAATGCCAGCTTCCATGACCAGGTATGTGGAAGAACAAAATATATGCAGGATCCCATAAACTGGCGGGTAGCAGTCAGTTAATTCGTTTTCCAATAGGCTGTATGCTGTAGGCGCTGCTCCATCACCGCTACTGTAGCATCAGGCTCATTCACAATTGAATAATTTATAAGCACAAATTAATTTTCGATGACTTCTCGTCTTTTTGTCGAGCCGGAGCCTCCGCTGACGAATGGTAGGGGTAGGGTGTTAGTCTGGGTTGGTCCTCTCCTGCCTTTGGTTGGTGCTCGCCAGATACAGTCTACCTTGTTCTGATAACAAAATCGATGTATCTGTTTGGCAGCTCGCGACTGTTAGTACCGTGGAATACTATCTTTCATTTAGATGTGCAATGTAGTGTACAGTATTGTTTGCATCGTTTCAGGCCAATGATCCACGGTTCTTACTCTCAGCACCAGTAATCCTTTACAACAACTAGTTGATGTAAGTTCCGCAACACGGGCATGCACCAATCTCGACTTCGTACCGCTACACTGGAACTTAAATTTTGGACTTTTAAAACTATATTCTACTTTTATCCTGATTCCAGGATCCTCCCTACCAACCTCTAAGTGTCGAGGTCTGTAGAGCTGGAATATATTATGCCAACATCTCACGGGACGTCCATATTTGTCTAGTTGGTCTGATCGGATGCTGCTATTCATAGAAATTTACACAAACCCGGGAGTATGTGGATAGAGAGGAAAGTTTGTTCTTAAGAGGAATGCACGTGCTTATTGCTTTTATTTGATATGGCTGCATAGCATGCACCATTAATTTGATAGTGATCAACGAAAAGAAAGTACTATTCTGTTGGATCATCGTTGGTTATATGAATTGCAGTGAGGTATTATATAAGTGTCGATCAGGCCTATGTGGATCAGCATTAACATAATATATCTGTAGGTTTATAGTTTGTGATCTGTTAATCTCCGGTGACCCCGCCCCCCGGGATTTAACCTCTAACCTCGGAATGGGATCCCTCGCTAAGGAAGTTCTCCGCCTGAGAGACCTAAAGTAAGTGTAGTAACAGCAGTTACCATGAATTTATTTCTTTTCAACGATATAATGTTCTATGTCTCAATAGGATTAACATTGCAAGTGTTTCTCTTCCTGTGAACGCTTTACAATACAACGCTAGTTTTAATGGAAAATGGTCCGTTTTTAATTACAATGAAATATATTTGAACTGAAAATATACTGCTTTACAAGTGATTCGCATTATGTAATCTTTTTAAACGTTACTTAATCGTAATATGTAATTCTAGTTACCCTTCAAAAAGACAAAAAGTTATATATTAAACCTGCTTCATCTTCAGAAGACAGAAATTTTAATGCTAACGGGGCTATTTTTAAATTATCCCTAAACACATCCGTAAAATTTCCTCTGCTTCATTCATTGCTATATCAATATGATAAAATAACTTTAGATTAAATGAAAGGTTATGGTATTGATATTTATATTAAATCGTTTGATACCTAGTGTTAATCGTTGTTAATTATATTTTATCCCTGTCATGTAAAGTGGAGTTTAGTTGTGTACTGTGTGACCCCTGGTTGTCCGATATGAAAGCACACACGTGTCGCCGAGAGGTTGATAGGCGTGTGCGTGTAATACTGGCAGCACAGTACCGTCTCCAGTCCTTTGGGACCCTACCGTACGTGGATAATGACAAATCTATGACACTGGATTGTCTGATAAACAGATAAGGCATTTTGCTGGACCCCTGTATTGTTGCTAATTAACCATCAACATTGATCCGCTCTAAAACTTATTTGTTAATATTATACTAACATTGGCATTGACGTAAGTTAGAAAAATTAAACCGGACTCTTTGTCTCAATAGACTTTAAGAAGTCATTTGTACGGACAATTTGGAAACCTGTAAAATATTTTGAAAGAACATAAACATGTTACCGGTATAGTGGTATATATTCGATGTTGGTGTAATCTTTAACATGTTACCGGAAAGTGTTATATATCTATCATGTGTTTGTGTAAAATGTAAGCAATAGATTTGTATTACTTTTGTATGAAATATTTTGATGAAATTTGTAAGTGTATATTCCATCGTCTATCATATAGTATCAGTTATACAATATACACTTACTATCTCCTTGTACCAATCGTATTATACATTATACACTTACTATCTCCTTGTACCAATCGTATTATACATTATACACTTACTATCTCCTTGTACCAATCGTATTATACATCATACACTTTATATCTCCTTGTACCAATCGTATTATACATTATACACTTACTATCTCCTTGTACCAATCGTATTATACATTATACACTTCCTATCTCCTTGCTCCTTACATTATACACTCCTTGTACCAATCGTATAATACATTATACACTTACTATCTCCTTGTACCAATCGTATTATACATTATACACTTTATATACCCTTGTATCAATCGTATTATACATTATACACTTACTATCTCCTTGTGCCAATCGTATTATACATTATACACTTTATATACCCTTGTACCAATCGTATTATACATTATACACTTACTATCTCCTTGCTCCTTACATTATACACTCCTTGTACCAATCGTATTTATACATTATACACTTTATATCCTATTGTAGCAATCGTTTTTATACATTATACACTTTATATTACCTTGTATCAATCTTATTATACATTATACACATTATCTCCTTGTAGCAATCGTATTTATACATTATACACTTTATATCCACTTGAATCAATCGTATTATATATCAAACACTTATATTCTCTTGTATCAATCTTATTTATTAATGATATACTTAAACATATACTTGTGTTTTCTATAATTTCATATTTCTTAAACTACATTCGTATTTTCACGATTAATAGAAACAGTACAACATTTTAAATTATTGTCCGTCTAATTTTACAGCCTTACACATTTCATTTTATGGTATTTAATATGTCCTTTTAATTAAAAATATATTTGCATGCTTTTGCATGGCTTATGAAACAAAACCACCCTTTACGATGAAATGCGAATAACAACATTTTAATATTTTTATAAGTGTGGTTACATAAAATATCATTTTTTTCCCCCACCTTTCTCAACCAGCAATATGTTATTCTTAATTTTTATTTTTAATCGTCATTATGTCTGATCGTCGGTACTGGACCATGAATCCAAATGGAGATTTATATCATACTACAGTTTTATATTATCTAACCTAGAATACTACATATTATATTATCTAACCTAGAATACTACAGTTTTTTTATTATCTAACATAGAATACTACATTTTATATTATCTAACATAGAATACTATAATTTTATATTATCTGACAAAGAATACTATAATTTTATATTATCAAACAGAGATTACTACAGTTTATATTATCTAACGTAGAACACTACAGTTTTATATTATCTGACATAGAATACTACAATTTATATTATCTAACCTATAATACTACATATTATATTATCTAACCCAGAATACTACATATTCTATTATATAACATTGAATACTACATTTTAAATTATCTAACATAGAATACTACACTTTCATATTACCAAACATAGAATACTACATTTTAAATTATCTAACATAGAATACTATAATTTTATATTATCTAACATAGAATACTACAGTTGTATATTATCTAACATAGAATACTACATTTTTATATTATCTAACATAGAATACTACAGTTTTATATTATCTGACATAGAATATTATAATTTTATATTATCTAACATAGAATACTACATTTTATATCATCTAACATAGAATACTATAATTTTATATTATCTAACATAGAATACTACAGTTGTATATTATCTAACATAGAATACTACATTTTTATATTATCTAACATAGAATACTACAGTTTTATATTATCTGACATAGAATATTAAAATTTTATATTATCTAACATAGAATTCTACATTTTATATTATCTAACTTAGACTACTATAATTTTATATTATCTAACATAGAATACTACAATTTTATATTATCTAACATAGAATACTACAATTTTATATTATCTGACAAAGAATACTATAATTTTATATTATCTAACATAAAATACTACATTTTATATTATCTAACATAGAATACTATAAGTTTATATCATCTAACGTAGAATACTACAGTTGTATATTATCTAACATAGAATACTATAGTTTTATATTATCTAACATAGAATACTATAGTTTTATATTATCTAACATAAAATACTACAATTTTATATTGTCTAAGATAGAATACTACAGTTTCATATTATCTAACATTGAATACTATAATTTTATATCATCTAATATAGAATACTATTGTTTTGTATTATCTAACATAGAATAGTATAATTTTATATCATCTAAAATAGAATACTTCAGTTTTAAAATATCTAACATAGAATACTATAATTTTATATTATCTAGCATAGAATACTTCAGTTTTATATTATCTAACATAGAATACTATAGTTTTATATTATCTAACATAGAATACTATAGTTTTATATTATCTAACATAGAATACTTCAGTTTTATAGTATCTTACATAGAATGCTTCAGTTTTATATTATCTAACATAGAATACTACAATTTTATATTATCTAAAAAAGAATACTACAGTTTTATATTATCTAACATAGAATACTATAATTTTAAATTATCTAACATAGAATACTTCAGTTTTAAATTATCTAACATAGAATACTTCAGTTTTATATTATCTAACATAGAATGCTTCAGTTTTATATGATCTAACATAGAATACTACAATTTTATATTATCTAACATAGAATGCTTTAGTTTTATATTATCTAACATAGAATACTACAGTTATATATTATCTAACATAGAATTCTATAATTTAATATTATCTTACAGATAATGCTTCTGTTTAATATTATCTAACATAGAATACTATGGTTTTATATTATCTAACATAGAATACTACAGTTTTATATTATCTAACATAGAATACTTTCATTTTATATGATCTAACATAGATTACTTCAGTTTTCTATTATCTAACATAGAATGCTTCAGTTTTCTATTATCTAACGTAGAATACTTCAGTTTTATATTATCTAACATAGAATACTACAGTTTCATACTACCTTACATAGAATACTTCAGTTTTATATTATCTAACATAGAATGCTTCAGTTTTATATTATCTAACATAGAATACTACAATTTTATAATTTCTAACATAGAATACAACAATTTTATATGATCTAACATAGAATACTACAATTTTATATTATCTAACATAGAATACTACAATTTTATTATCTAACATAGAATACAACAATTTAAATTATCTAACATAGAATACAACAATTTGTATTACCTAACATAGAATACAACAATTTTATATTACCTAACATAGAATACTACACTTTCATACTACCTAACATAGAATACAACAATTTATATTACCTAACATAGAATACTACATTTTCATATTACCTAACATAGAATACTACACTTTTATATTACCTAACATAAAATACTACACTTTCATATTACCTAACATAGAATACTACACTTTCATATTACCTAACATAGAATACTACACTTTCATATAACCTAACATAGAATACTACATTTTCATATTACCTAACATAGAATACTACACTTTCATATTACCTTACATAAAATACTACACTTTCACATTACCTTACATAGAATACTACACTTTCATATTACCTAACATAGAATACTACACTTTCATATTACCTAACATTGAATACTACACTTTCATATAACCTAACATAGAATACTACACTTTCATGTTACCTCAAGTCAAAACCAAAATAGTTATCGACACTTATTAGGATGGGACCAACAACTAGCTTCCTTTCCTACTCTATATATAAGTAAGATTTATTTCTGTTTAACATAGTAAAACAGATTTTGTGCATAACAGCTCTCACTTTCTAGAAACAGTAGTTGAAACCACTATATCGGTTAAATACTTATCCTCAAAGTATCCGATCTGATATCCTTATCTTACAGTAAGTA